ATTAGAATTCTTACGTACTTGTAAAAAATTATTTTTTCTTTTATTTTTTTATTTATAATGGTCAATTCTGCCTACACATTTGTTTCGTTAATTCTACTAATTTTACATCCAAAACATTAATTTGATTAAAATCCTAATTGCTATAAACGAATGCTGCCAATTCTATGAATATATCACTATTTATTCTTTAAGCTCGGATATAATATCATTTATATGTTTTAATATAATATACATATGATAATAATTAATTTTTTTTTATTTTCACCCTTTATGTATTCCAATTCATTATTTTCCTTAAATTGAAATAGGTGTATTTTTACTAACAGAGATAATAAGTAAATTTAAAACTATAACCTTTACGGTAGTATAATTTTTAATAGAAGAACTTTAAAATCAATGAGGTGCTTTTTTAGGAGCTTTTTCAACTCTTACTACTAGAAAATAGCTTATAATATTTAATAAATCTTCATTCCCTAAGGTTTGTCTCTAAGTTTCTGTATTCGCTTGTAATTCATATTTAATTCGTTTTATTAAGTAATATAAAAAAATTTTAAGAAGGTGTGATAAAAGAAATAATTTTCATCTTATTTCATTCTGAAAATTTATTTCAAATATCAGATTTTATTTACGCTATTAAATTTTTTTATTCTACTACCAAAAACTGTGAATAAAAATTGCATATGTGGACACATGAATGTAGGATAGATTGAAACCTGAAGATATACATTTTATTTTTTCCGGGATTCAATATATTTGATGGAAAATAAAAAATAAATAAAAAAAAAAGTGTTACGAATGGTTGGATAATTAAAAATAATAATAGTGATAAAAGTGAAATGTAAAAATAATTATAATAAAAAATTTCTAATACTTAAGTCAAGTATAATTTTTATAAATCAAATCTCAAAAATCAAATACAAATAATGGATTTATAATAATTATTTACCTATTTTATCGTATACTAACTAAAGTCTGCAATAATTATATTCCTAATAGTTGTATAGATTCAAAAAAAAAAAAAAAAAAAAAAAAAAAAAAGTGCAAACGTTACTCTTTAAGAAAATTAAATTTTATTTTAAAATATGTTAATAAAGTAAGAATTATTCAAGATGACAAAGAGAGAGATTATTCGAGAAGTCGTAAAATAAAAAATATTGAAAAGTCCATTGAGAAAATCATAAAATATTTTATTATATATTAATAAGATATATCTATTTATTGGTTTTTTAAAATTTGATTAAATAAATTACAAATATGCTGAAGTTCTAATAGCTCTAACATTGATCCTAAAACATTGACGCCATGAACTATAGGATCGTTAATAATTAGAACTTTCTTTTTTTGTTTTAATAAAATGAATAGATTCATTGAGTTATTTTAGTAGCTTAAATTAATAATGTAAGTTCAATGATGTTTTTTTTTCTTATAATAATTATATGATTGAATGAAAATCGAGAGGAAATTGGAGGATGTGGGAGAGTAAAAATAATAGTCTATTAATTAAAAATATTATATTCTTTTATAATTTTCTGTGAGTATCATTAGAAATGCATAATATTAAAATGTGTCTTTTTTTTTTTTATCACCTTATGCTTTTCACATTGTAATAGAATTTTCCCCGCTATATGGTGATAAAGAATCTTCATAGCAAGTGTTTGCAAACATTACATTGTCATTTAATTTATTAATTTTTATTAATTTAAAAATGTTTAAGAAGTTAAAATTGAAAATTAAAGTCAGTGCACGTTATCTGATTACAAGAATTAAAAAAAAAAAAACTTAAATTTTCACGATCACGTAAGAATTGAGTTTCAATGATATTTATATTTGAAATTAAAATTATATAAAAATTATATTGGATACATCTTATTTAATTCGCACTTGTAAATAAAACAAAATTGAAAACAAAAATTTTCTTTATATAATATTTCTTGATTGCATGAAAATATTAAGTTCCTTACCAATAGTTACGTTTTAAATTGTAATCCTTTAATATTACTCTTAAGGAACTGATAAAATTTATTATATTTTCTAAGTAAAATTAATTAAAAAATATAATGCACCCTTATTGTATTGATTTAACGATTTATCGAGCTAATATTTAAAAATACTGATTAAAATCATAATTATAATAATGTTCAACATAATAAGACAATTTATTTAAGTATACCGAATACCTTTGGCGTAAATAATGTTTTATGTTGCAAATTCAACTATGCTAAACAGTGCTTTAAAGACCAAAGACTTGCTTACATTAAATATCAATTTAAATAAATTTTACATAATTTATTGATGTCAGAAAGTCTTCGGTTAATCTATAAATGATAATAAAAAAGTCTATTATCATTTGTCTCGTTAGTTATATTTGCTACATATATATATAAAAAAAAAAAAAAAAAAAAAAAAAAAAAATCTTAAATCAATGCTGATTTAAAGTTTTATAAATGCGGATAATTTATTTGTATTCTAGTTTGTAACTATATAATGCTAGATTAACAAAATCCTAATTTTATTAAAGAATTTATGGAGTTCAAATTAGAAAAGTATCTTTCTCATTTGTATATACAACCAAATGTGGTATATTTGTCTCGAATTTTATTTTATCACTATTATTGTACATTAAAAAGAACAATCCGGATATTTCTACTCGGATTCATTTGCATAATTATTCAAGATTGATATTTCTTTTCTTAAAACACAAGTATTAATACCAGACATTCCGATATTATTTAGATAAAAGAAACTGGCTATAAATAATTAATCAATAAGCATTCGACGAATATTACATGTATCATTTTTAAAATTTATGGCTTTTCATTTAAATAAATTCGATGAAATATTGGATTAAAATATATATTAATTCATAATATATCATATTTACGCCTTAAATGTCAATGTATCGTGGCATAGTTTTTTTACATTATAACTATTTAAGATAAAATTAAGAATAAATTTATATTCGCGTATAAAGTTTTATATTGGAGATTAGAAATGACGTTTGTATAAATAAAATGAGAAGTAATTTTATAAGAATTTTTTTTTTTTTTTTAAATTTTAATCGATATTCCAAGTAGTGAGTAATGTATTAGATTTTCTAATTGAATATTAAAATCATTTAAAGAAAAGTGTTCTCGCACTATATCGCATTAGGATGTTTTAAGTTGTCACAATATTAATTTGAATGTAAGATATTTGTGATCGATCGATAATAATCTTTCAGGATATTCTTGCTCTGAAAGCTTATAAGGAATATAAAGTTAACTTTATTAAATAAATTTATAAATATTTAAGGTATATCGATCCATTCTTCGCGCGACATGTGTTTAGCCCATTGCGTACATTCATTAAAAACATCTTCAATACCCCAAGACGTAAAAACCTCGTGTTAAATTATGTTCCCATAATATCCCATTAAGTGCAATTTGATCGCTCTTCCTGCAAAGCATATCAATATTCACAATAGTATTTGAATCCAAATATAAATGATCTCCTACCTTTTCTAAAATGCAGGCAGGCACTCACACGCGCATCCACTCGCACAGTCATACATAATTTCCAAGAAAAATCGACCCTCGTATTTCGGTTCAGCCGATCGCGGAGAAACTTCGTAAGCACTGAATGACACAGAAGGCTGTTAAGGATAATCGAGGGATCGATCTTCTCGATCTGTTCACAAGCAACTTCTTCATCTTACTTTGTTCCTTCTCTTCTATATCCCTTGTCGTTCGAATATGCGGGCTGGTCTGCTATTGGTGTGCGTTCGCGTCTTTGAGTTTTTCAGTTGGGGCT